TGTTTTTGTGGGGGGGGGGGGACTTAATTGCCGTCAATAGGAAATTATATAAAAAAAAAGATATGGTAAGGTGTGGTATCAATGATAGATGCGTTCGTATTTACCGAAAAGATGGATGAATTTGTCTGCTACCGAATTATTTTGATATGCTTTTTGTTCATATATGTGTAATCATGTCTCACATGGTTCCACTTGGAAAACTTGGACCGATGTGCAACGCCCAATCAAAATACATGATGGGGGTTTGATCTCGAAGGGCAATATATATATATATATGTGTGTGTGTGTGTGAAAGTGAAAGGACCCTACGATTTGGTTAAAGAATATTGATGGAACATGGATTAAAATATGTGAATGTATGCGTGAAGGCAAAATACATGCTCAGCCTATTTTTGGTATAGTATCATTTTGGCTTATGATTTTTGCTCACATTCATGTATCCTTAGATGATAATCCGGCTAATATCCCGATTCTCGGGGAAGATGCGTGATTCATGTGAATGATCTTTGTTTCTTGTCGTTTCTTATAATTTTTTTGTTGGTAATTGATTCAAACTAATAACTTACTGCATAATCCAAATTTAGTTAGTTCAACCGGTGAAATTGAAACGCAAAACGTTTGTGTCATTCCAAATTCGAATCTCAACTTTGGGGATAAAGTGTATATTCCAAATTATATAGTTGGCGCTAGCTGACACTTGTTTACCCGAAAAAAGCTTACCAAGCATACTTGCTTCATATTTACGGGCAAGGCAAAAAATGGGAAATGTGATTTAATTAGCAACACGATATGATATATGATAACAAAAAAAAAGAGAGAGTAGATTTTCAGGTACAACCACGACTCGGCTAAAACAACATGTGATCTTTATCTTTAGGAATAAAGTGAGAGGAAAAACAAAAGAAAAAGAAGCAAGCGGAAAGACACATCAAAGCAACAGCACGAAACAGAAGGAAAAAAAAAACAAGTTATTGAACATGGTATGATCCAAGAACCCTATATGTTTTTGTCTTTGACACTGTATTCATAATTCTGTATTTGTTATGGGTATGCGTGTTGGTGAAGCAAAAAAGAAACATGTCCAGATCCCATTGGCCATACTTGCTGACACAATTGCTGTCTCTCTGTTCTTGCTAGACAACACTTTAGGCGTCCCACGTGCGCATAATGGGTTAAAATCCTAATGATTTGGTGTTCGTCACTCCAAGAAAATCTGCCATTCGAACCACTTGCTATGAAAATCAATCCAAATTTAGACATCAATCAGACCAAGATTTAAAATGCCATGAGAGGCCTGGATAGGCAAAAAGAAAGAAGCATTAGTCCCAATTGGATCAAAAAAGAACTTTTGCACCAAAAAACCCAAGCAAATACAGTAACTAACATCCCCGTCACAAGATCACAAAGCAGAAGGTTTAAGCATAAAATCATTTGGCCTACTACTCTTTTCATCACATCTTGCTACCAAAATCACTCTAAACACTGAAGGGTTTCTACTAATTACATTGGATCTGAAAACAACCTCCATTTATCTGCAGACATGTTTACCAGGTGAGAAAGAATTCCCTGTGGTTCCTTTTTCAGTTGAAGAGGGATGATGCCAAAATGATACAATTCCACAACCCATAGCATAATCTGTAGAGACCAGACACAAAAACTATTATAACCCATAGTCAGCATTTCCAAGACTTTTTCTTCCCTGTCCTGGATGCGGAGTTATCCATCCCATCGACCAGATGATCTCGCAGCTTGACCTGGAGGGGCTGAGGGTTTCCAGCGAGTCACCGGGCATAGATACAGGCTTCATTTTTCACGCATTGGCCACTGCCAGATGCAGCCGGGGGTTATTAACTGAGAAGAACACTTCCCTATTCTATTCTGCATCATATGTAGACAGGTTTAACATCATTGGGTCCAAAACTTGCTGAGCATGTTGGACATTTCCTTTGCCGATTTCCTATCATCTTTTGCACGCATTGGTTGCAGAACAAATGGTAGCATTTTGTGATCACCACCTAGTTCAAGAAGAAAAGATCAACAATCAGAGCATTGGCTAATCTATAAAAAGGCAAAAAAGCACATCATTAGTAACAGGTGACCGTGGCAGAGAATTTTCCGAGAAAATGGCTTATCAATTCCCTAGGAAGAGTTTACAGATGGTTATTAACAATAATCAATCTTCAAAGCATTTCAGATAAATCTATGAAGAATGCAGCAGAACAAGAACAGTATGCATACCTCTTTTGGGCGATCATGGCAGACCTTACACTTGATAATTTCTTTGTATTCACCAAGTTCTTGACGAAGCTTTTGAATGGCTGAGGAGCCTTCTCTAAGAGATCGAAGATGCGAAGCTTTCCTCCTGGCAATTTCCAATTCCTCCTCTATCCTTCTCCTACTGAACCTGGAATATGTGAAAGAAAACAGTCAGTCTACCCGCCAGATTTGGGTTACAATTATAAGGGGGATTTTTTTCGGGAGGAGGGACAGTAACTAAATTACCTTTCACTTTCCAATTCTAGCTCCAATGCCCCATAATCCATCCGACTTCTCTCAACCTTAGATTGTGACTCCTCCGACCTTGTCCTGGCTTGTTCCAATGAGTTCTTAACATCTACCCATTTCTTTTGCGAGTTCTCGAGTGTATCAGATTTCTGATACTGATCGTTTGCAAGTTTCTGAACCTGATCTATGCAGAATCTCAACTGCAGGCAAAAGGAATTCTAATCAAATTTCTTGTCGACATCTATTGCTACTTTTCCCCTGTCAGTCTAGTTATGTTCCAAATTCAAATATTGTACTAAGCGACACTGCTCATTTAGAAAACTGTTTACAATTTCAAAAAGTATACGAGATTGAGAAGGATAGAAATGCAAGGGAAAGATATACCTGATCTTCAATTCTTGAAGACTTCATGGAAAGGAAATTGACAAATGCACCGGCTTGCTGCATATCCTTATCCATGATACTTTTATTGACACGTAAAGCTTTTTGCATCTGTCTGGAAGTAACTCCCTCCAAGAAGAGCTGAAACAACAATGCAATAGTTCAAAGACTGCCTAGTAGTCCATATGATAGAACGCACTGCATATTACGCCAAAGTCAACGCTCAAAGCCACAAGTCACAAGGATTTATAAATTAAGTGGTTCATCCCTGTGCCCATTAGCCACCTATCTATTTCAGAATAGAATTAAACCAACAAAATGAGAAGAACTCAAGGCAATCAAGAAGAACAAGAAAGGATTGATTAGCCACCTTGATATTATAGTCATCCCTTTCGGTAACTTGAAGCAAAAGTTGTTGGTTTTGTGGTAGAATGTCCTCATATGCACGACCAATTGTCTGCAAAAAGATAAACTACTGGTAACTTGATTTCTAACATCAAGGGTACTAAAAGCAAGAAAAAATAACACAAACAAACCTGTATTTCAGAAAGATAAGTCTCATTTTCTTCATTTTTAGATTTCAAGATCTGCGAAAGCCCCTTGACATCCCTGAAACAGAAAAGACCAGCCCTTTCAGAAAGGGTCACAAGGGAACCATGGCCAGATACGTTCAAAAACAATGCCATACATTCAAGCATTAATTACCGTTTTGAATCTTCCAACTTCTGCCTTAAATCAGCAATCTCAGCTTCAGCAGCAGCCAGCATTTGTTGGGAAATGGCCTCAGCTTCATTTGCTGCCTTAACTTGCAATTCCAGGTTTTGTTCATCAAGGTAGGATGTCAGACTTTGGACATGAGCCCAAGCCTTGTACTCCTGATCCTTGGCTTCAGCAATGTCCCTGCCACAGCAACTTGTACTAAGTGACGCCTAAAGTCCACCCACCAAGGCATATTTATCTCAATCTAGTGTTTTTCACCCATGACATGATAACAAGCAAAAGCATTTAAAACTGTTTGCTAAATGCAACAACAGTCTATATCATCATTTATGAAGAATCCAAGAAGACTAGCTGAGTACACAAAAGTTCCTCTGTGCTTCAGAAACTGGACAGCAAACTTTCAGCAGAATTAAACAGTTCAACAAAGAAACAAGGTGATTTAGGTGGCAACTTATTCGGAAACAAAACCACTGCTGATACCTCTATGAAGTAACTGGATAAGACGCAGAAAGAAGTAAAAAAATCCATTAAAGCAAAATAAATTTTGAATGCCGATCTCTTGTACTTGCTGCTTACCTCGAATCAGTAGATTCACGTCTATACATGTCTAAAAACAGCTTCAACTCCTCATGACTGTCCCTCAAATCATGAACCTGCTTGACAAAATTTTGGAAAAGATAGAATGCAACAATAACTCAGCTGACATTATTGATCGATTTTTCTAAAACAGAGATCAGGAATTGAAAACAGAACTCAAATCACAAGTACAGATTTCAGAGCTAGAAAGCTCCATGAACACGGAACTGTAAGCACATAAATCAATACAAAACTTGTCATCCAACATATGAACAACATATATAAATATGTAACTCTTCGTTCTAACATAAATCATCGCCAAATAAAGGTCAAATACAATGAAAGTCACACGATGGACGATAAAGATGAGGCACACAATCAGTAGACTTGGTTGACAATGCAATCGCACAAAAAAGAACTAAAAGTATATCACATCATACCGTAGCTTTCAGGTCATCTATCTGAGAAGCCTTGTCAGAAGATCTAACAGACAACACCTCACATTCCTTCATCTGTTCACATAAACATTTAGGCTTCTTTATCCCTGAAAACAATCCAAGACAATGACGACATACACAAATATTTAAGATCATCACCCACCTTCCTATCTAGAATCCCGGTGAGGGACTGGACATCAGCCCGCAGCGAATGGATACCTCCAGCAGTCCTTTTATAATTGTCTAATTGACTTTGCATTGAACTCATCTCCTCTGGGAACGAAGAAATTAGTGCTTTCATATCTGCAAATATTTCTTTCCTCCCTGCATTTGTGTTATTTAATCAGAGACTACATGGGAAGAAGCAAAACATGAGTAAAAGATAAATCATAGGCTTGGAAGTAAAAGTTATTAAGTTGTGACCTCGGTCTCCTGGTATCTCTTCCAACTTAGTTGTGATTTGCTTCTTTTCATCCAGTTGCTTCTCTAACTCCATCTCCAAAGAAGCAATTCTAGCATCAGAAACAGCAGAAGACCTTCGAGAAACATCAACTAGCTCGCTTTTCATACTCAACTCCCTTTCCCTCCAGGCTGTATTATCTTTTTGAACCTAAAAGATTCAAATGAAAGCAAGCCTCATAACCATATGCACCGCACAGTTCTATACTGAATATTTGAATAACATATGAAATCAACAACCAGATACTACCTGCAATTTTTCTAACAAAGCCTGATACTGAAGGACAGCTTCTTTTGACCTTGATAGCTTATCTTTCAGCAAAAGGCATGCTTGAGAAGATGAAACACACCTCACAGACTTCAATGTTTTCTGCTAGAAAATTTCATGTCAGCCTTTTGGGACTACAAAAGACATATATTCCAGAATATATTTTTTTGAACAGAAGTCATGCAGAAACACACTATGAAAATTTTGATGGCTTAAAGTGAGAAAAAACAGACCTGCAAATTACTCATTTTTTCCAGAATCTTTATCCTCTTCTCGTGAAGATCTTTTAGCTCTTCTAGCCTGCTTGAAGCTAGCTCCTATCAAGTCCAAGTTGAACATTACATATAAAAATTCAAAATTGCCTTCAAAAAAGGAGAAACCAGAGGAGCAGAATAAATACCGTTAGCTCTTTCAGAACAGATTCCATGTCTTGCAGTTCCCTTTGTTTATCTCTAATGCTATCACCAGTTACAAACTTGTTCCCAAGATTCAACACTGGAAAAAATGCCCCCATTGTTGCGTCCCTTTCTGCTCTTAGTGCTGCCAACTCGCCATTACACTGTTGCAGCTCTGCCACCTCGACCTCTAGCTCATCTTCAGATACACCAAACGAAACATAAGTATCAGCTCAAAAGATGTTCATTATAGCCTAAAAGCATAAACGTTGAGCTAGTGTGTGTACAGTTTAAGGTGATTTACTTAGCAAGAAAATACCAATTCACCTCCAGCTAAGTAGTGCGTAATGATGAGTTGAAATGACATCTTAAGCAGTTAAGAGCGTAAAGTCAATCCTCAATTTAAATAACTTTCATCTATGACACAAGTATCAACATATTTGCCTGTTTTTTTCTCGATTTTACCAGTAAAGATAGAAGGAAAACATCCGTAAGAGGTAGTAATTTAAGAATAAAAAAGTTAATAAAATTTAAGAAACAAAGCAAACGTTTAGCACTATGATCCAGTCGACCTGACAGCTAACAAATAACTCAATTAAAGGGCAGCCCGGTGCACAAAGCATCCCCATTGAGCGGGGGTCCAGAGAAGGGTCCCACCACAAGTGTATATTGTAGGCAAACCTTACCTTGCAGAAATTTATGCAAGAGGCTGCTTCCAGAACAGATAACTCAATTACTCATGAAAATATACAAAGGATCATAACAGCTTTTTTCTTCTATGCATTTCTTATTGTTTTGCTCTGGACTTGCTCAAAGAAAAAAAAATCAGCAAAAACCAATATCTACAATTCTACATACCAGACATGAAAGCCACCAAATGGTGGATAAACCCAGAGGAATCAACAGAAAACAAGAAAAGCTACCAATACACTCATGCTCTTAAATCCAAATTCATTGAAGGGTTCCACCAAGCTAGGCTTAGATGAGGAATACCAGCTGTTATATCTCCCAAGATTCTAAGGAACAGATCAGTACGGGTTATTCAGATAGTTTAAATGAAAGTTAAGAAGTCCATATCCCACAGGAGATTGTACCCTGTTACTTGACCAACGGGTGTAGACAAAATTTTGTGCCCTGTGATGGGCTGCTACAATATAAAAACATTCTGCCAATCGCTCTATCCTATCCATACGCTCTACCGCCTAGAAATCCAGACATTACATAAAAGCTTGTACAGCGCTAAAACCTTCAGAGAGATTCAGAACTTCGCTTTTTCCTTTTTAACTCTCTGAATATGTTATTCAAGTATCACTTGTCTTAATCATTCCCAAACAGGACAACATTTCAGAACTGTATAGCAATGACTTTCTATGTATGTGGATGTCTCTTCTCTACCTAGGCACAGAAAAGGAAGACAACCAATATTCTGATGCACAGATACCAGAACTACACAAAAGAGATGCCAAGCATTTTTATGATGGAGAGTGCATGTAAGACATGCATGCTATTGCTTAATAGATCCTCTAGTAAAGTTATCAAGCATTTTTTGAATGATGAGATCAAAAGAGATGTCAGCCAGCAGTTACCTCTTATTCGTTTAAGATCGGCTTTATTCTTAGCATCAGCATCTCGGTGATTCTGTAACTCACTCGACAGTAATTTGTGCTTCACATGAACATCACTGAGAGCCAGCCTCAAACTTTGAAGTTCAGATTCCAAATCATTTGATACTTGATGTCCGTGCAAATCTAGTTAAAGAAGCATTTCAACATAAGACATGAAGTTCAGTGCCAAACGAGGAGGAAAAGACAATGCTAGAAACTGAAACACACAGCAGATGGAAGTAATTAGCATTATTTGTACCCTCTTTGAGAGCTGCATGATATAGTCCATCCTTCAGACATTTCAAATCATCGGTGGCAGCTACAAGGTTATGCAACGTTTTTGTCACCTGAAGTGGTGGTGTCCCCCTATTCTCTTCCAACTGATTTGAGCAACTACTGGAAGAAGAACTCTCAGTTGCACCTGTTTCTAGAAGCCGGCTGATGAAATCATCCTCTAGGGATTTAGGAGCATCTGAGAAGCAGTTTTACATTTTCACGTCAACAAGTTATATTTGCAACATAAAACAATAAAATATGACCAATCTTAGTACTCCAAACACGAAAAAGTGTGGCCAAGTTGTCCATCCATACCCTCTTTGTTCAAGACACGTCTGTCACCTTCACTGCATGACTCTCTCACACGAACAGAACATGATTCCAGGGCAGTTATAAGCTATTAAAAAGACATCAGTTAGAACTTCATAACCCCTGGTAAAACAAAAGAGAACCATTCCTTCAACTAACCATTGACTGAACTTTGTGGTGGAGGGAGAATTTGACACAATCATTAAGATGAAAACACAGCAGAATACATATATAGTAAGCATTACCCCTCCCCAAGATTTTTGGACATTTTTCAATGTGGATTCATAGGGCCGTTGTTTTTCCTTGATCTGAGAAAGTCTATCCTCAAGAATAGAGCACTCAACATGCTGAGCCTCTAGCTTTTGGGACAGCTTCAAATTTTGGAACTGAAGAACTGCAGTATCAAGCTGAGTCAAGAGGAAACAAATCACTATGGCGTAAAATGCATATTCCAGACCAGTACCAGGGATAACTTTCCAAGGAAAAAACAGCAAATGCACTTGAAATTTTGAAGCAACTGTTTGTAACTCTAAAACAACCACATCAAATATTTCAATTAGGAAGGACAAGATACAAAACTGGAATATGATTAAATTCCATACAGGAGATGGTATAATAGCGAAAGTTTTACCGGGACTCATTTAATGGAAAGCACAAATCTTGAGAAACTCAATCAATAAAGTGCAACACTGAAACAAAAGACAATGAATTTCTTGAGGTTTAATGGAACCGCTGAAATCACTCTAATGAGCTACCAACACAAATCAAGTTTATAATCATAATAATATCAAGCCAACGTGAAACAACAAGCCAGTAACAATTAGAAACCGGTTTGGTGGTGGCAGCGGGGCATGGGAAGCAGGCGACAAAATCTAGCGTTCATGGCCCTCATTTCGGTTTTAGGAGTCAATGCACGATAAATTACAGCAAATTGACACGAAAGATTCGAAATTGCAAAACAGTAAGTTAACCCGGATCAAATAACTCAGAATTCCAGTAAACCAGTGTCACCAATTGGACTAATTCGATAATCAAATCAACATATCAGAGACAGATATCCATATGCATGCGCAGAGATATCATGGGAAGAACCTTGTCCTCGGAGGAAGGCCAGAAGAATGGCTGCTTCTTCACAGCAGCCGCCGTAGCTGTCGGCGATATGGAGATGATGTGACGCCGTTTACGGTCCGGCTCACCCGTACTCGCCATTGAAATGCTCAAAAACCCTAGATTCGCCAACGCGGACCCTTTCTCACAGAAGAGATTAGGGAAACAATTCCGATCACAGGACCCAAACCAATCGAAACAGTAACCCAACGAGGAAACCCTAGGCGATCAATCACTAGCAGCGACGCGATTACTAACCCAGAAAAATGGGATTGATCGGCTCAAAAACCCTAATCTCACCGGAGATCCAATCCGCGCTGCCTGTGTTCCTCGCAAAAACCCTAGGTCTCTTTGCTACGGCTCTGCGCAACTGAGAGAAGTGGTAAACCTATACAATCACTCTTTGCAAGACGCAGCAAGAAGGGAGGTGAGAGAGAAGAAGAAGAGACGCGATGAAGTTTTAAGAGGGGAATGTAATTATGAGTGAATTTGGAGGGTAATATGGGAAATAAAAGACATAAGGAACCTATATGATATAATATGATTCCTTCGCCACGTCACTATTGCTCTTCGCCACGTCACTATTGCTCGAGCACGGAACCTAATCACCTTTGTTGTTTCGTCACATGAACATATTTTTTAGGGGTGGGCGTTTCGGTTCGGTTCTTCGGAACCGGACCGAACCGAACCGTTAAAATGGTATTTTTTTCGACTCGAAACCGTTATTATTTCTCGAGCGGTACCATTTTTAGAGAACCGAATTTTTCCGGAACCGAATTGAACCGAACCGAATTTTAAAAATCCCGAAAAACCGAATATTTTTAAAGGAAATCTATCATTTTTTTAATAAAATCTGGAACCGAACCGATACCGAAACCGAACCGAACCGAATACAATAAAAAACCCGATTGGTACCTATTTTTGTAAAACCGAAAGAACCGAACCGATTAATTCTGTCCCGAACCCGAACCGTTTCCCGAAACGCCCACCCCTAATATTTTTTGTAAAAACATTATAAGACCAAACATATTAGCATTTATAAAAAGGTACACAATTATTTAATCAATTCGAAAAGAATCGCAAAACAAGCAATTATAAAAAGGGGAAATATGGTCAGTGATTTGCAACACTCAAATTTAATGGACCAAAAAAATTGCTAAAAATTATAATATCTAAACTAAAAAAAACAACAACAACAACACCGCCTTAGTCCCAAGTTTATTTGGGATCAGCATGAATTCTTCGTTTTCACTCATTTCGATTTTGCGTTAACTCTTTAAGAATTGTAACAATTCTAAATCGCCCCAACGTTTATATGTTTTGAATGTGAGATATATGATATAGTTTTAACCTTGCTAGTTATCACCTACTCCAAAACCCTCATCCTTTAATCATCGAGCTTGCTTGGGACCGGCTAAACCAAAAAAGAAACTTTACCAAAAAAAAAGAGAAAAATAATATTGCTTCTTATTATTGGTTCCTTTATTCATTTCAACAAACATAGAAGAAGGAAAAAATACAGAGTACAGGAAAACGACACTAAATATCTCATCATATCATCCATACCGATCAGTCATCCTCCACTTCGAGTATGAAATGCCTCTCTTTGCCAACTTCCACGAGCAAAGTCAGAAGGGCCTCACAGACTTGAGCAGCGTCAGCTTCCAAAGGATCATCGTTCAAGGAAGAGTAAACCATCCATGCATGGTCTAGTTTGCGTCTGGGCCGTACAACCATCGAGCCAGGGACCTCCGCGTCACGGCACGTGACCAGTCCGTCGCTCTTTTCTCCGTACCTGACTTGGAGCAGCTGAGCGCACGCAGCCATCGCGGCCCCTAACGGTATAACCACTGGGAGCTTCGTGGCTTGGCCGCCTGTCAGAGGCAGTTCCGCATGTGCCACATGGGACAGAGTGGCTAGGACCGCCGGGCTTATGCTGGCTTCTGTTCGGAATGACACGACTGGAAGTTCTCGAGGAAGTGGGTTCTTCTTCAAGAATTCCTTCCTTTTCTCGTAGGTTAAGTCTTCTAAAGCTTGGATGTCACCCTGAACGAGAATCCAAAAAATGAATATATGCAAACACTATATCATTGGTGCAATGAATGAAAACATATACAAACAGAAAGGTTATACCTTTATGACTTTGGAGATCAGAATCTCCATGAGTTTCCTCAGCTTAACGTAATCCCCGAGCTGCCCTTCTCGGAGGATATCAGTAGCTATCGGACTCCCGCCATACGGACTCTGTGCCAATGCTAAGCCAGCAACCTTATCCTTTAGATCGGGCCAGTATAGAGATAAAGCAGCTGCTGCGTCTACACCGCCTTTGCTGTGCCCCAGAAGTAATACTCGTTTTTTCGAGCCCCAGTAGATTTCCTCAATGTACTCCTTTATTTCTCTCGCATTTTTCTCAACCGACGCCTGATTAGTGATTTCTCTCATACATGATTAGTACACAACAATAAACCAGAAAATACGTACAGAAACTAATGGGAATTGGGGCTACCTCGCTGTGAATCTTGGCAATATGGCAGGCCAAACCCATCTTCGAGAATTTCATTTTTGTGCTCACGAAATAGAGAGGTCCGTGATTGCTGAACAGACCTGAAATTTTTATTATTATTATTGTTATTTCACCAAGTTTGAGAACCATAATCTGAACTCAAACTATAGTCTATGTGGCTGGCAGAGGAAAAAAATAACAGTTGCTACCTGGGACCAGCAAGTACACTACCGATTTTGGAAGCTTGTGCAAACCATGCCTGAAAAAAAGAGAGAAATGTAAATTCAGTAAATTGAACGTCCCAGTGACGGCCGACACTAGGTCTAGGACTCTAGATCCATAAACCTATCAAAGAACGACCTCTCTTACCCAATGTCGTCGAGAATTTTATTGAACCTCTCAGTTCCATCTTCAACAGGAGGCATCTCAGGATCCCGTTGTAACCATCCAATGTCGTCTGCCGAGCCACGGATGGTCCTCCGTGCTCGCTCAAAGAGCCTGGTAGTGAGCAAATAAATTATCAACTATCAGCTGATATTTTTTACAGAGACCGTATAAGCAGACAATGTTCCAGGGGCAAGTTCAGAACCACTACCTCACAAAATGACATCTTACAACCCACTTTTGTGGAGAATTTCATATTTGTTGTATAGAGAATACATACCCTTGGAACATGGAAATTCCATATAAACCGACATTATATGATGGCACTATCGCATTTGTTGCCTGAGATGGATTCTCCGTCGATTCCCTTGACGGGCTGTTTGCAGACGTAGATGCCTCAGAAGAACTTGAATATCTTTCCCCAGGAGAAATGCATACACTCACCGGGGATTCCCCATTGACTCCTGATGTTGATGGTACCAACCCATGTGCACGGGTTAAGGAACCAAATGAATCTCTATCACCGTATTCAACTGAAGAGAACATCAAAGGCAGAAACTAAGTTACAGGCTACAGCCAGAACTATGTTTTGACAATGACATAACTAAAACAGAATAACATCCTAAAACCATAAAAGCTCCGCTCAACTGCTCTAACAATGCAGTTATCAGCAGGAGAGGCGCTCGTATTTTCAAATCTGGGAGTGTCTTGATGAATACAGAAACAAGAACTGTTATGATTTCATATGTGTCTATAAACTCTGAAAAGAGGAATCAATCCAGAACTTGGAGGATTTACATGGTGAATACATCATGAACTCAGATAAAGAAAGCTTACCTGAAAAATCAGAGAAACAGCTGGTGAAGTAGGAAGTTGCTTGTGTTAAATAAGAAGCAGCTTCATTGAGAGCTGGTAAAGAATTAAACAGTTGAGGTGCAGACTCATCGTCTCTAGTACAATTGTCCTGTTATCGAATTAACTTCCGTTATAACTTTATCTCCACCACCACAACCCCAAGTACATGACTTGACCAGTTATTTTGATACAAAAAACCGAAAACGAGTGAAGGAAAGAATGATACATCAGCATACAATACTTACAACAAGAGGCGAGCTTTCTTCGTTTCTGGGGCTACCATCTTCTCTCATTCTGATCAATTTCTAAACACAAGGCAAACAAAAGGTCATCCAAATAGAAATATATACATTTCCCTTGAGAATTATTTTAACAAAAGATAAAATCACTAGCATAAGTGGATAACCATTCCCCGTGACCATTAACAGGCGCCAATGGCAGTGATCAACAAACGAATCGTTATTACGAAAACGAAACCCGTAGATTCTTATCATATGATTATATATCAGACCTTAAGTTTCCAAACCTACAAATCGGTTTTCCATACATGAACGATGCTTGTAAACACAAAACGCCAAAGAACCAACGTAAGCTGATTAATAAAGGTTGCTTAACAAATTATATACGAAATCTATATAAAGCGTGCAAGATGCGAACCCCGAAGGGACTTTCCATTCCAGACAGGGAAAACGGTCAGCATGCCCAATAATTGAGGACGAAAAAAGAAATTAAAAAAAAAACAAAGCTAAACAGAGACATGCGAGTGACAATTACAAGCTCAAAGCATCGAGATACCTAGAATCCGATGATGTCGATGAATAAGATGGTTAGTGATCGGATCCAACTTCAAACAAGAAAGATTAATTACGGGATCCCGAAGAATCGATCAGATAGGAACGGTAATAATCAATTAAAAAATCCAAAATCAAGAATCGAGAGAGAGAGAGAGAGGAAGAGAAACCTGGAGAATTCTGAATGTCGCATGCGAACGAACCACACAAGAAATTTGAAAATTTGAGAAAACCCAGAAAGCTCGGAATCTTTTGGGAACCCGCGGGGTAAAGAAATCGGGTGAGACTAGATTTTAATTATTTTATAACCGCACGTGACGGTGACGGTGGCGGTGACGGTAACGATGACGGCGTTAGAAAGGTATGTAAATGCAACACGCGTCTTTAGACCAGAACCCTAAATGGGCCAATATTTACAAGATGGGCCTAATTCTTTAGGCTCATTAATTACACAGGTTAATATAGCCTTCTGATATGGGCCCGATTATGGGCCCTAACAATAATGCACTTAATTCGTTTAATTCATAGTAAATAGTTTTTTTAAAAATAATTTATTTGAATTTAAAAGTGGTGATATAATTGTATAAAAAAACATTATTATATCTACAGTAGTAAGTAGTAACAAGTGAGGAGGAGCATTAGATTCATCGCTATATAATAGGGGTGGCCATTTCGGGTTTCGGTTTAGTTATTTCGGGTTCAGTTATTTCGGTTATAAAAAAATCATATCCAAACGGTTATATAGATTTAATCGGTTCGGTTCGGTTCGGTTTTTGCATAATAAAATTATAACAAACGGTTATATTTTTCGGTTTATTCGGTTCAATTTTAGATCGGTTCGGTTCGGTTATGATATGTTTTGAAAAAAACTTTATTAATCCTACATAAACTTCAAAATATCTATTCAAATAAATGCACAAAATGATTAATCTGGTAGTAAAATTATAAAAAAAAATCTAAAAACTTCAATAATTAGGATAAAAATTAAAAACATTACATTTTATGGTTTATTGAATGAAATATATAAGGTTAAAAGTGAAATATAAAAAAATAATACTAAGAATAATGAGGATAAAAATTAAAATATTAAAAAAACTCAATAATCATTCGGTTAACAGCAGTTATTCGGTTATTAACCGAACTCGAACGGTTATTCAACTTCCTCAACCGTTCAGTTATTAAGCAAATAATCGAACCAAACCAAACCGTCCTTATTCGATTCGATTCGATTCGATTATTCAGTTAATAAACGAAATGACCACCCTACTATGTAATCATGAAATCAGAGAGAGATTTGAAGCTCATTTGGAGAAACAACGAGGAATGGAGTGAAGCCCATTTAGGGAAATGTGGAAAAGCATGGGTGACGTCAGCAGATTCGGCATCGACGGCCCAAATAAGGAAAAGAGACAGGTGGGCCCAATTTTGTCACCCCTTTTCTCACTTATCAAACTTATAATCATCCCTTCTTTAATTATTATTTTTTATATTAAATTTTTGGGTGCACTCATTCCACCCCCATTAGCATTAGTCCTCCATCCCACTCGTCCTAAGCGAAAGTGCCTCATGGTACGACCGACTTTGGTCTACTGACTTACACTATACAACCGCAACCACATATTACACTAATGTTATGCCATTTTATCTACCTTGTTTTCCTATTTCTTTGTTTGAAATGCATCATTATACATCTGAAATATAGAAAAGCATATATATAGTTTATATAGGGATCCAATGAAAAACAAAGAATATTTAACCAAAGTGTTAGTAGTAATCCAAGATGTCATAGTCAGATTCTGGATTCGTGTCACTTGTGGAGAGAGATGTAATTTTCTGGACTAAAATGATCCATATACAAAGACTGGTCTCAGACCTATGGAGGATGTAGTCGGATTGAAGGCTGGAAGAACCATCCTGTTTATAAAAAAAGAAGATGTCGTAGTCGAGTGGTGTAGTTGGTTTAGAACGTGATATCATTGTCCCAAATCCCATATTTGAGTCGCGGTTAGTGATGAAGGCGGTAACGGACCTAGAAAAAATTATAGGAGGGGGCAAATTTGATTTTATCATATGACAAATATCAATTAATAATAGGGGTATTTATAAAATTTAATCAAAAGAATATAATTTTTTTATAAAGGAATTAAGTTTTTTTAACAAAACAAATGGGGGCATATATCCCCATTCATATTAATGTGGGTCCACCTATGGATGGAGGTACGCATTTACAGTATACAGAATGTCTCCGAGTTTTTGAAGATGTAGTCGGATAGAAAGTTATGAGAATTTTTAAGTTGTAAAAAAAATGTTAGTAATATAAATACGAAAATTTTCCTTAGTTGGATATTTATTTTGTAGATGGACATCCAACCTCAAGGAGGTTAAGATGTACGAGAGTATGACGACCTTTAACCCTATTCTAATAGAGTTTCGATCCAAATATTCCATGTGCAAATAAAGCTAGAAAATTTGTTTGGGTCCAAGGTGTTATAATTAACCTAACATTATGAACTTACAACTACTTATTATGAGCGTTAGTACTCGTATATATTCGATACACACACACGCATATATATATATATATATATGTATGCGGCCGTTGGGATATAAAGACAAAATAAGTTTTGGGTTATATTGGGTTAACTATACTATACGTCTTTCGGGATTTCGAGGTGTGAATCTATTGAATCTTGTATATGGTTTAAACACACATATATACGTATGTGTATATGTGTGTGTGTGTTCATGATGTAATTAACCAGCAAATGTGAAAATGGAATCAAAATATTTTGTCTGCATTCATCTATATGGTTTGCTTATCATAATTATAACCAAGACCATTGCTGCGAATGTTCACCAAACCGAAGACATATGAACGAGGGTTACATGATTCGGATGTTGAAACTACAATGATTATTGTTTATAATAAATTCGTATCTGAAGTTTTATTAATTTCTTATTGAGAAATGCTTAACAGATGGAAATTAGTTAACGCACAACAACAAGGGAGATAACATATTCTCCATGTGTGTTATGTTTGTTTGGTTATAGAACAGTATTCGTTGATTTTTGTATTAGTATCTGATTAAGAAAATGTTGAACAACGCACCAAACGTACATGATTGTGAAATTACAAAACATTATTATAATCGAAAATAAATAAATAAATATTCTCAAAGTGACATCTTACACAAGTGAGTGCTCATCAATCTGTCAAATGCAAGTTGGTGATGGGTCGTCGGGGGTATTACAACAGTTAACGTCTTCAAACCCCTTGCCTCCACTCACTAAAATCTCCCGAAAATTTTATTATTTAATTTGGCGGTGCATGTGTCATCTGACGTGTTATTCCCTTTTAATCATAATATTAAATTTATTTCATTATATAAATTCAAGTAAAAGGGCATTATGGCTTAGTATTATGTCTGCCATTTAACGTCCAGATTTGTTCATGTCTACCACAAACCACCCAGCATTTTCTGCCCCACCATGCACATCAAAGAGCGAACCCTTGAAATTAACATATTGTTTTTTTATTTTATAAAAAAAAACATATTGTTGTTATAAACATGCACAGAGCGACGTGCCCAATCTCCCTCTATATATATACATACATATGCGACCACTTTTACATATCAAAACCATATATTATACACTTGGCTCCTAACGAATAAATAATATTACAAAATGCGGGCCACCATGTCACTAACCGCCCCGCCGAAATTCCTCCCACCGGTTAACTCCCCACCGGTTCACCACCAACCCCCATCGGCGCCTGCACCCCTACATGCCATATCGATAGCCGTTCCAGATATCCAATTCCCCGGTCTGGGTCGCACGAACACGGCCCCCGACGTGGACGAGTCCCCGTCGGGGTTTCGTGACTACCAATCTCTGTTCGTGTCCCAACGGTCCGAAACGGTCGAGCCGGTCGCGATCAAAACCGTGGACGGTTCAATACCGGCCGATTTCCCGTCCGGCACGTATTACTTAGCCGGTCCGGGGCTTTTCACCGACGACCACGGCTCCACGGTCCACCCTTTGGACGGTCACGGTTACTTGCGCGCCTTCAAGATCGACGGCCGAGAACGAGAGGCCACGTTCATGGCTAAGTACGTTAGGACCGAAGCTCAGATGGAGGAGCACGACCCGGTGACTGACACGTGGAGGTTCACTCACCGGGGCCCATTCTCTGTTCTGAAAGGCGGGAAAAAGTTCGGCAACACGAAGGTCATGAAGAATGTGGCGAACACAAGTGTGTTGAAGTGGGGAGATCGGTTGCTCTGTCTTTGGGAAGGTGGCGAACCTTACGAGATCGAATCCGAGACGTTGGATACGATCGGAAGGTCCGATGTGATCAACGGCTGTGATTTCTCGCCGGAAAACTGTGCCAGTGATGCATGGGACACGGCCGCCAAATTGCTGAAACCTATACTAAACGGTACGTTGACTTATCTTACAACATATATACACATATATATAAATATGTAGGTGTTTGTGTTTTCACGTACTTGTAATCACTATGCATGTAGAGACAGAGACAAAGACAATAGTAGCAATAATGACAATATACATTTGACATGGAACACTTTAATGATGGTAATGATTATAATAACGATTTATCAAGAAAATGATAATAATAACGACAAGAACAAGCATATAATATATGCAGGCGTATTTAAGATGCCACCGAAACGGTTCCTGTCTCATTACAAGATGGACACTCGAAGGAACAGACTTTTGACAGTCTCTTGCAACTCGGAAGACATGCTCCTCCCTCGCAGCAACTTCACTTTTTGTGGTAAAAAAAATATATTACAAAAATAAAATAAAATAAAATGGACCTATCTTGGTATTTATTCACAACAATTTTTCTAATATACTGATTTGCAGAATTTGACGAGGAATTCAAACTGGTTCATACAAGAGAATTCAAGATCCCCGATCATATGATGATCCACGACTGGGCTTTCACGGAGTCCCATTACATACTGTTTGCCAACCGAGTTAAGCTTAACCCGATCGGTAATAACCCTCGAGCCCCTTAAGACCCTGAAACAATTCGAACATCATAGTTTTTACACGACCAGACCGAAAGACAAATCTTCGAATGTAACACATGTAGATCACGAAAAAAAAAAACTATAGTATGACGGGTGAAACGTGTATGCCAAGAAACATGTTACTTGTATTGCAAGGCATCCCACGAACAAATCAGATTAATCGGACAAGTAAAAAAAACTCGTCTAACTTTCCTCGTGTATAAAAATATGCATCTCAGGTTCGGTGGCTGCAGTGTGTGGAATGTCTCCGATGATATCGGCCTTGTCCCTTAACCCGAGCAACGAGACTTCGCCGATTTACATTCTGCCGAGGTTTTCAGGCGGATCGGTCGGAGGCAGAGACTGGAGAGTTCCCATCGAAGCACCTTCTCAGCTATGGCTAATCCACGCCGGAAACGCCTTCGAGACCAGAGACAACAGCGGCGGCGGTCTCGAGATCGAGATACAAGCTTCTGCTTGCTCATATCTCTGGTTCGACTTCCAGAAAATGTTTGGTCAGTTACAAATACTCCATGTCACTATACTCAATTCCATTTTCTTGATCTTTTGTTTCTAATATCTTCTTTAACTTATCGAACGAAGTGTTTATCAAGGGTTAAAAATATTACTATGATTATATATATATATATATATATATATATATATATAACAAATATATTTATGTTGTGGTATGATTCTTTTTCAGGTTACAACTGGCAAAGCGGAAAGCTCGATCCATCTATAATGAATCGAAAACAAGGCAACGACGGTCTCCTCCCTCATCTTGTCAAGGTATATCACCTCATTCGATTTTGTGACAATTCACTCAATTTCTATCGAAAAAAATCTAAACGGTGATGATATCATATTCATATAACGTAGGTTTCGATCAGCTTGGACGTGGATGGGAGCTGTAAGAGCTGTGACGTCGAGCCACTGAATGGATGGAACAAACCCTCGGATTTTCCTGTCGTAAACTCGTCATGCTCCGGACAAAAGAACAGATACATATACTCTGCCTCGTCCTCGGGTTCTCGGTCTGCACTCCCAGATTTCCCATTCGACACGGTTGTGAAGTTCGACTTGGACGCAGAATCTGTACGCACATGGTCCACTGGAGCCCGGAGATTCATCGGTGAACCTATGTTTGTCTCTAGAGGCTCCAACGAAGAGGATGGATACATTATTGTCGTTGAGGTACTTTGAAATCTCTCTCTATAAATAGATATATATATATATATATATATATATATATATATATATATATGTATGTATAACACTAAAACTCTCCAAAATTCTTGATATATTATCAATATTTGTATTGTGGCAGTATGCGGTATCCATAGAGAGATGTTACCTTGTGATTCTCGATGTCAAGAAAATCGGCGAAGCCGACGCTCTCGTCGCCAGATTAGAAGTGCCGAGGAACTTAACGTTCCCGATGGGTTTTCATGGTTTGTGGACTAGCGACTGATCCATCTCCTATGATTATTATTATTGGTATTATTTTATTTTTAAGTTGTAATAAGGTGTGATATGGTTTAAGTTATAATCATTTTTGTACAAAAATGGGTTGTGATTCTTTGCTACATATGAATATACCGTAATTGTACATTCGAATACACTCATATTTCTGTTTACCAAACTTTGGTCTAAATCCCGATGTCCACATTTAAGACTTCCACCACGTGCTCAAAAAATTCTGGATCCGCCGCTAAACGCGACTTCACAGAATATTCAAGAATATTATTTGCATTATATAAATTATTCTTCAATGTCTCTAATTGATTGTTATATAAAAAATAGTTGTATATATATATATATATTGTGATTCTATTGCATATATGCATTTTATAATATTTCGATTGAATATCACATTCGCTTTTTTTTATAACAACATTTGACCAAAAGTTGCCAACTTGACCATGCATGCATCCATCCAATCAATGTTAAATAATCCTGATAGCTTGTATGATTTTGCAGAGCAGAAACCTACAAAATTAGAAGCCTAAATTAATGATTATGAATTTAATTTAGAAAAGCAGTTCTCTAAATTAATGATTTTTATAATAAATCTATTTTTTTAAAAGTAAAATTCTAAAAACCTTTAAGATTTCGTAGTTTTGAATCTTTGAATTTCTGTCTGTCCGGACAGTTGAACATCCACTTGCCTATTTGTTTTAGTTTTGTGACATTTGAGACCATTCAAAATCGAATTAAAAAGGACAACGTGCATGAGCATTTGGGCTTGGGCTTTCATGCCATTTGGGTTTTAGAATTTCCAGTTCATTTATTTTATGGATTGAATCTCTCCCAAGTATTTTCAATTGATATTCATATTGGTTTTGTTTTATCTTATTTTTATCAATTTCTGGATGATAACTCTTAATATACCATCATTGTTATTATGATCAATCCTTAAAAAAACTAAAAAATTCATATAGTTTTTTTATAAAATTCAAAGTTCGTTTATATAATAAAAGTTATTGGAAGTTAGTGAATTTTTTAATTATTTTCATATATATTATAAATAATATCATTATTATATTTAATTAATAAAAAAATATGATTTATATCTTACAATTAGATAAAGTGAATTAACATATCTCTCATCTTCTACTTTTTTAAATGGTTTATTTTTTGATATATCACGATCTACAAAAAAAATAAAAAACTCAATCTAATAGATTTTTTTATAACAAGTATATAAATTTAATTAGTCTAAAAACAAAAGATAACTATAATATTATTTTTAATATTATATTATAAGTAAACTAAATATTTAAAGAGATCAAAGGAAAAGAAATCAATAACGAGGATACGAGAAGGCGGGCCCCCCTGGTTCCAGAGCCAGGAGTCAACTTTCCCGAGAACACCTATATCTACTGCTACTATAGTATAATTATTATCCTTTATCAAACTAAAATTAATAATTTTTTAAATCCGTCAACACTATTTATCATCATCTGACCGCTTTTTGGACCCTCAGGCACTGTTAAGGCAAATGTCAGATTTGAGTCTGTTTTAGGACGTAACGTACAACAGTAAAATACGACGAAAAATGTTGCTAAAGTTGTATCAATTTACATGTCATATTTATACATTCAAATTAAATAAATTTAAGATACAGAAATGTTGATGGCTCGTGCTCTGAAAAAATTTCTACAGAAAGACCTTGTTCAATTGCTTAGGGTGAAGAATTAAATTTCGAAAGAGACCCACGAAATAAATGAAAGAGTCACGTGATTGGTTTTGTATTTTATAAAATTGGTTGAATTAAATATATATTTATAAATTTAAATATTGATGAGATTATATAGGTTTAATATCATACTATTATTTATTGTGAAATGTTTATTGAATTCAATATGTTTTTTATTTATTACACATCCCAAAATTATATTGTTTCTTTAAAACTATACTTGCTAAACTAACCTCATATTCCACCTCATCAATTTTCTTAAATTTTATTGGTTTACTAAAATAATCATTTACAAATACTTATTAAATATATATAATTAAAATAATTAGTTTGTATTTTCAATTAATATAACAACTAAATAGTTAGGTATTAAACAAATATTAGATTATATCCACATATATTATTTGCTTATATATATTCTATCCACATGTATTCTTTTCTTATACTCTTTTCTAAATAACTGAATTTATAAAAGAATAGTTTTGCATTATAATAGAGACCGATAAAAAAATATATTTTCTCTTTCATTTTTTTTTTCAAATTTGTGATTCGCTAATGTTCATATATATATGTATTATTGGTTCATTTCATAAATAATTCTAATTTACATGAAACTACTTTTACATTATAATAGAAACGGATTAAAAAAAATATATTTTCTCTTTGTCAAATCAATACTGTATTAAGAATTAATAATAATAACAAAAAAATACAAAAAATAAATATATTTCCTCTTTATCAAATAAATACTCTATTAATAATTAATAAAATATATATGTCAAAAGTTTTCATACAACCATTGTTTAATACGTAATGCCTATTGACTATAAAAAAAAAAACTATATTCTCCAGTTTTATTTTGATTTTTGTTTCGATCTAAGTAGGTTTTATAAATTTAAATATTGATGAGATTATATAGGTTTAATATCATACTATTATTTATTGTGAAATGTTTATTGAATTCAATATGTTTTTTATTTATTACACATCCCAAAATTATATTGTTTCTTTAAAACTATACTTGCTAAACTAACCTCATATTCCACCTCATCAATTTTCTTAAATTTTATTGGTTTACTAAAATAATCATTTACAAATACTTATTAAATATATATAATTAAAATAATTAGTTTGTATTTTCAATTAATATAACAACTAAATAGTTAGGTATTAAACAAATATTAGATTATATCCACATATATTATTTGCTTATATATATTCTATCCACATGTATTCTTTTCTTATACTCTTTTCTAAATAACTGAATTTATAAAAGAATAGTTTTGCATTATAATAGAGACCGATAAAAAAATATATTTTCTCTTTCATTTTTTTTTCAAATTTTTGATTCGTTAATGTTCATATATATATGTATTATTGGTTCATTTCATAAATAATTCTAATTTACATGAAACTACTTTTATATTATAATAGAAACGGATTAAAAAAATATATTTTCTCTTTGTCAAATCAATACTGTATTAAGAATTAATAATAATAACAAAAAATATAAAAAATAAATATATTTCCTCTTTATCAAATAAATACTCTATTAATAATTAATAAAATTTATTAATAAAGTTTGTTTTAAATGCGAATTACATTATATTGAAAACAATATAAATATAACCAAAACAGTGCAAAATATGAATGATAATAATGTGATCAATATTTGTCATATTTTAAATTAAACACTAATGACATGGCAAAACGTGAACTATTCGTCTTCGTCATGTCGTAACGTGGATGACGCAGATTTTTTTGGGTGTAATGGATTTCATTTATTTAAAGACGTAATTGATTGAGATTCTAGATTTGAAGCGTCGTTTATTATATAGGGCGTATATAATTTTAAATTTTAGACATTTTTCAATTGTAAAACTCTGATTTTCCTATTTAAATATAAAAAATAATAATATAAACAGACATATACTATGATATTTATGTAACGCTAATATTTATGGAGATTATAATAAATAATTGTAACGCTATGGTTACACCCTTTGAAAGTGCAAAGAAGATGCATGGCTACTAAATAATTATAAAAGCCAATATGAAAATACAAAAGAAATATCAAATGCACGAACGTATATTTATTGGGTATGTTACGAATCATCACCGTCGTAGCATCAGACCCTCCACGTTTTTTTTTTTTTTTGTTAAAGGTTGTTTGTTTTGATTTCCTAAATTTTTTTGTTAAAGTACTAAACCAAAAGCATTTGTTCTCTCCTTTGTTCAAAGATTCTCCAAACAAAATAGTAACAAACACATCGTAAACTGTTCATCACATCCGGTGGCACTAGGGGTCCTCATTTCCCTCATATCCCAAGGTCAGTTTTCAAATATAAATTAGTTTCAACTCATACTTTCATAAAAAATAACATAAATTTTATTTACAATATTACACATATAATTTTGATAGAGGGCATATTGTATGTAAAGAATAAAATTTACATGTTTGAATTAAATGGGTTTTTCCGTTTAATAAAAGTTAAGATTCAATCTATTAAAATATTGTACTACATTAGACAGATATAAGGTTTGTAATATAAAGTTCTATTAGGTGTTTAATATATGAACTTCTATTTTATTTATATACTTCTATTAGTGGAAAAGGTTTCAACCAAAAACAAAATATTAGGAAAATAGGCAAACTAAAATGTTCTACACTATAGATGAATACATTGAATTCATTTTTCCTGATATTTAAAGTCCTCCTCTACAAATTGCATGTATCATATATACTATCTAAAGCGATGTAAATAATAATCGGACAACATTCTAAGCGAACCAAAAAATTTAGATACATACTAAACTGTGACGCTAAAAAATACAACAAGATTTTTAAATAGGGATAATCGCATCGAAATACCTGAACTTTTACAAAAAATCTCACATAAATACCTGAACTATAAAATTGTCATATAAATACCTGAACTTTTCATAACTCCCATATAAATACCCAAACTTTTAAATTTTTTCCAAATCAACCACTTTTCCGTTAACGTCGTTAGACGTTACTGTTCACTCATCAAAAAATTGATGACTCAGCAATGACTCAGCAAAAAACCTGTTGACTCAGCAAAAAAAATATTATTAAATATCTAAATTTTTATCTACATATATTTAAATATATATAAATATATATATATACATTAAAAATAAAATTATTTATAATTAATAAAATATATATACACATAACTACAATATATATATATAACATATATACATATAATATATATATATTAAAGATAATATTTATATGTATATATATTAGTTATATATACAAAATATACATATACAACTAATATATATAATTATAGTTAGTTATATATACAAAATATACATATACAACTAATATATATAATTATAATTAGGGGTTTGTATATATAACTAACTATAATTATACATATTAGTTGTATATGTATATTTTATATATATAACTAATATGTATACATATAAATATTATCTTTAACATATATATATTATATGTAAATATGTTAGTTATAATTATTTTTATTTTAATATGTATATTATGTGTGTATATAAATTTAATTATAATTATTTTTATTTTAATATATATGCATTTGTAATGATATATATATATATTATAGTTATGTGTATATATATTTTATTAATTATAAATAATTTTATTTTTAATGTATATATATATATTTATATATATTTAAATATATGTAGATAAAAATTTAGATATTTAATAATATTTTTTTTGCTGAGTCAGCAATATTTTGCTGAGTCAACAGGTTTTTTGCTGAGTCATCAATTTTTTGATGAGTGAACAGTAACGTCTAACGACGTTAACGGAAAAGTGGTTGATTTGGAAAAAATTTAAAATGTTGGTTATTTATATGGGAGTTATGAAAAGTTCAGGTATTTATATGACAATTTTATAGTTCAAGTATTTATGTGGGATTTTTGTAAAAGTTCAGGTATTTCGATGCGATTATCCCTTTTAAATATATACATCTAAATAATACAAACTCCTAAAGTATACCAAAATGTATCCAATCTTGAAACGAATAGACAATTCTATATTTTAACGACCACAAAAATTATATAACATATCTAATCCCTAAATCCAAAAAATCAATTATTAAAAACAAATCGTCTTAAATAATAACAAAGGATTTTGATTTAAAAAAAATATTATGTTGTAATTATACAAAATAAATTGTTGCATGCCAATAAAAAGAATATATAAATAATTATTACAGAAAGCACATATATATAAAATAATTATATTATTTAATATGTCAAAAGTTTTCATACAACCATTGTTTAATACGTGGAGCAGTAGCAGAGTCATCATGGGAAATATTGGTGAACTCAGAGAGATGCAAAGCTGTTTGGCATGGCAAATGGAACGGATGATGTGTTGCTGATATTAATGCCTATTGACTATAAAAAAACTATATTCTCCAGTTTTATTTTGATTTTTGTTTCAATCTAAGTTCTATTAGAGGTCAGATGAGATATGTTTAACCTTTTTTTCGAATAATATTTTTTTTTATCTAGCTAGAATTCGCTTAATTTGAATTTAAAAATTTTATATATTTATTTAAAATCAAATTTATTTTAAATATAAAATCATCTAAAAAAAACTCAATCTAATAGAATTTAATTATTCTAAAAACAAAAAAAAACTATAATATTATTTTTAGTATTATATTATAAGTAAACTAAATATTTAAAGATATAAATCATTAAAAGGCTGGAAAACCTATGCCTACTGCTACTATAGCGTAATTATTACAAGTAAAATTAATAATGTTTTAATCCCGAGGGTTCTATTCATCTTCGTTTAACATCTCTCATACATTTTTGTTTATTTGCGTCATCATCTGAGCGCTGTTTGGACTGGGCGCATCAGGCACTCTTATGGAAAAGGTCAGATATGAATAAATATTTGCTCTGAAAATATTTGTACAGACCTTGTTCAATTGCTTGCTTCGCTCTATTTATATGAGTGTTCCTCACGTCTCTCATCTTTACTCCTCATTTCCACCATGTTTCCCTTCGTACTTCTCTTCCTCCTTAGCATTAGCAGCCTCGCCGTCTCTACCGCATCGGAGGGTCCGGTTGTGGCGTTCGTCCACGGAGACGTGAACAACACCACACCGGTGGTGGCTACGGCCCCAATGGCTCCACCACCTCCACCGCCTACAGTTACAGGTCTACCAAGACATGGCAAACCATCAGGTCCAGGTAAGAAGACTCCACCATCCGGTACTCCGGGTTTCGAGGGTACTTTACCTGATCAAATCGCGCCCGAGTCATCTCCTGTTCAGAAAGCTTACAAATGGCTGTATCTGCTTATTCTGCTCATACCTCTAGTCGACGGTGTCATCGGCCTGATACGTTACTGCCGTAATCGATCGTTACAGTAACGTGTTGTCTGTTGGTTTTTATAAAGTGTTGTCTGTTGGTTTTTATAAACTTATCGTGTGGGTTCTGTACTTTTACTTATGGTGGTCTTAGATATGTTTTTATCTGTCTATGTAAGTTTTAATACTTTATCTGTTTAATGAAAAAGCTTCATTATTCGGCTACAAGCTGACATGAGTTGCAACCCGTCTTTTGATTAAACCTGAGTAGTTGTCCTTTGTTCCTTTTGATACGGGGTTGCAACTACTCAAGTTTAATTCGAACTATGAAACTTTTTCATTAAGCAGATAAAGCATTAAAACTTACGTAGACAGATAAAAACATATCTAAGACCACCATAAGTAAAAGTACAGAACCCACACGATAAGTTTATAAAAACCAACAGACAACACTTTATAAAAACCAACAGACAACACGTTACTGTAACGATCGATTACGGTAGTAACGTATCAGGCCGATGACACCGTCGACTAGAGGTATGAGCAGAATAAGCAGATACAGCCATTTGTAGGCTTTCTGAACAGGAGATGACTCGGGCGCGATTTGATCAGGTAAAGTACCCTCGAAGCCCGGAGTACCGGATGGTGGAGTCTTCTTACCTGGACCTGATGGTTTGCCATGTCCTGGTAGACCTGTAACTGTAGGCGGTGGAGGTGGTGGAGCCATTGGGGCCGTAGCCACCACCGGTGTGGTGTTGTTCACGTCTCCGTGGACGAACGCCACAACCGGACCCTCCGATGCGGTAGAGACGGCGAGGCTGCTAATGCTAAGGAGGAAGAGAAGTACGAAGGGAAACATGGTGGAAATGAGGAGTAAAGATGAGAGACGTGAGGAACACTCGTATAAATAGAGCGAAGCAAGCAATTGAACAAGGTCTGTACAAATATTTTCAGAGCAAATATTTATTCATATCTGACCTTTTCCATAAGAGTGCCTGATGCGCCCAGTCCAAACAGCGCTCAGATGATGACGGAAATAAACAAAAATGTATGGGAGATGTTAAACGAAGAAGAAGATGAATAGAACCCTCGGGGTTAAAACATTATTAATTTTACTTGTAATAATTACGCTATAGTAGCAGTAGGCATAGGTTTTCCAGCCTTTTAATGATTTATATCTTTAAATATTTAGTTTACTTATAATATAATACTAAAAATAATATTATAGTTTTTTTTTGTTTTTAGAATAATTAAATTCTATGAGTTTTTTTTAGATGATTTTATATTTAAAATAAATTTGATTTTAAATGAATATATAAAATTTTTAAATTCAAATTAAGCGAATTCTAGCTAGATAAAAAAAAAATAAAAAAGATAAAAAAAAATATTATTCGAAAAAAAGGTTAAACATATCTCATCTGACCTACTTAGATCGAAACAAAAATCAAAATAAAACTGGAGAATATAGTTTTTTTTATAGCCAATAGGCATTACGTATTAAACAATGGTTGTATGAAAACTTTTGACATATATATTTTATTAATTATTAATAGAGTATTTATTTGATAAAGAGGAAATATATTTATTTTTTGTATTTTTTTGTTATTATTATTAATTCTTAATACAGTATTGATTTGACAAAGAGAAAATATATTTTTTTTAATCCGTTTCTATTATAATGTAAAAGTAGTTTCATGTAAATTAGAATTAGAGATTGGATACATTTTGGTATACTTTAGGAGTTGGTATTATTTAGATGTATATATTTAAAAACATATCTAAGACCACCATAAGTAAAAGTACAGAACCCACACGATTAGTTTATAAAAACCAACATACAACACTTTATAAAAACCAACAGACAACACGTTACTGTAACGATCGATTACGGCAGTAACGTATCAGACCGATGACACCGCCGACTAGAGGTACGAGTAGAATAAGGAGATACAGCTATTTGTAGGCTCTCTGAACAGGAGATGACTCGGGCGCGATTTGACCAGGTAAAAGAACATCGAAGCCCGAAGTACTGGATAGTGGAGTCTTCTTAAGGCTACAAGCTGACATGAGTTGCAACCCGTCTTTTGATTAAACCTGAGTAGTTGTCCTTTGTTCCTTATGACATAAATGCAAGAAGACAATAACTGCCTTTCTGATGCTACCGACGAATCAAGTTTGGAGATTTTTATGAATATTAATCTATTTAAATATAATTATTTGTTAAAAGATAGATGTGTAAGAAATTTGAGCACATTAGGTTGATTTTATTAATCATACAAGTGATTGCGTAAAATCGATAATGGTTTTGATACATTGCAACTAATGCCATATATCAAATAGTGATTACATATCTGGTAAAAAAAAATCAAGGTTTCGAATCTCAATCTCTCATAAATACAGAATAATAATTATTCACAAATAAAACATTGAAACCTCAAAATTCGCCAAGGGAATCTTACACCTCCTCGGTCCGACATTTCAAATCATCGGCCGCAGCTACAAGCTCATGCGGCGATTTGGCACCCTTCAACTGATCAGAGCAATTGCTGGAAGAAAGACTCTCAGTTGCCCCTGTTTCTAGGAGCCGACTGATGAGCCATTCTACGCTGTCACTTCAGCGAGTTACATCTGCCCACAAAAAAGAGTGGCCAAGTTATCCATCCAAACACTCATTGTTCAAGACGTGCTTGTCAGCCTCACTACATGACCCTCTCGCACGAACAGAGCATGATTCCACGGCAGCTACAAGCTGATTGTACCTGTTATTTGACCTACCGGTGTGGACAAATTTTTGTGCCCTGAGATTGGCTGTTACAAACCAATTGTTGTATTCTATCCATATGCTCTACCGCCTTAGAAGTCCAGAGATTACATAAAAGCTTCTACAATGCTAATGTTGGTTGTAATGCTCTACGATGATCCGTGATATGATATTTTGACTATGTATTGATTCATTGGTTTATGAATGCATTACTTTTCCCGTTATATGATTAGCATGTTTGTTATATTACGGTGAATATCCTAGAATCATTGCAAATGATTCTAAACTCCCTGTTCAGTTATCATTGTGGGAACAATGATGAATTAAGACCAGCATGATGTGTGATAGATGATTATGATCATATGCATTAGACGCAAATCACAATCATGGGTTCTCGTTTGGAACGAGTTACTGGATGACCCGCATGAGATTGTCACATGGACATGAGTCATGACTTGAATCTCATACAGCGGTTCGTTCTTGGATCCTCAGACCTGAGATGTCTAGAGTATCTGATATGAGGAGTGACGTGTCTTGACTGCGTCAAACGTCGTCTTTAACCGGACGATCATAACGGCGTTGCTCAGATACGTTCACAAATCATATGCAGATAGTAGACATGCAATACGGGACCTGTCACCTCCTACGTAGGAGAGATGTCGCTAGACCCCTCGTGAAAATCGGACTGTGAAAATGCGTGGCCAAACAAAAACAGAGGGATTCTTACAAAGACACAGGCTGCTACAATCTTGAATGTCCAGGCTTTGTTCAGACCAATAACGCATTTGCTCTTGGTGCCTCAATCAAGCCCATATCCACATATGGTGGTTCTCAATATGGAATCGCTTTGCTTATCTCCAAGGTAAAGGTCAAACACTAATTAGATTCCTTGTTATCCAAGCAATACTAATTTGATGTTGATTAAAACCATCATCTTGTCCATCTTAGGATCCAAAAACAGGAAATTGGTGGTTGGGATATGGAGAAATGATTATAGGGTATAGGTCGGGTTCTATAATCCCAAAGCTAGCAAACGGTGCATCACGTATCGATTGGGGAGGCGAAGTTATGTACGAAAAAACGAACGGGCAACACACCACTACGGATATGGGAAGTGGACATTTTGCAGTTGAAGGGTTTCAGAAGGCGAGTTATTTCCGAAATTTAGGCGTAGTCGATACGTTGAATGTCCTGCGAGATCCCGGAAGACTTAGATCCAGAGCTACTAATCCAACTTGTTATAATTTGAAAGTTTTGTCAAGTGAGAATTGGGGAACTTACTTCTATTATAGGGGTCCCGGTCAAAACCCTAGAGGCCAGTGAGCACATTCATTTCATATAAATACATATTTTATCGTTGTTAAAGTGATACCTCTGTTTATCTCTGGTCCTATCACCATTGTTGCGTCCCTTTCTGCTCTCAGTGCTGCCAACTCGCCATTTACGCTGTGGAAACTCTGCCACCTCCATCTCTAGCTCATCTTCAGATACACCAAACAAAACCTAAGTATCAGCTTAAAAGCTATTCATTATACAAAGATGCTATACATTTCTTGTTACTCAATTACTCATGAAAATATACAAAGGATCATAACAGCTTTTCTTCTATGCATTTCTTGTTGTTTTGCTCTGTACTTGCTCAGGGAAAAAAAAAAGATTCAGCAAAATCAATATCTACAATTCTACGTACCAAACATGAAAGCCACCAAAAGGTGGATAAACCCAGGGGAATCAACAAAAAACAGGAAAAGCTGCCCATACACTCATGCTCTTATCAAAATTCAGTGAAGAGGAAGAAGGTTTCCGCCAAGCTAGGCTTAGATGAGGAATACCGGCTGTTACATCTCCAAAGATGCTATAGAACAGATCAGTGTGGGATATTCTGATAGTTTAAATGAAAGCTACAACATAAAAAATTTTGCCAATTACTCTACTCTATCCATACGCTCTACCTTCTTAGAAGTCTAGAGATTACATAAAAGCTTCTACAACGCTAAAACCTGCAGAGGGATTCAGAACTTTGCTTTTCCCTTTTCTAATTCATTGAATATGTTATTCAAGTTTTCTGATAGACATCCTATACGTTACGTGTATTCGAGGAAACGCAAGGGGAAGGAACAAGCGAGACCGTCGACGATCGGAGATGGGGATACGAGGAGACAACGGTTAACAACACGGAGTTAGGTTTTTCAAGCAAGACTTAGCAAGGAGGAACTAAGTATTTAGCTATATTAGATATTTAAATAGACAAGGGCATTTTAGGCAATGTACATGAAGGAGAAAAATCCTAATGACATTGGCCACTTTTGGTTGGCTTTGTATATAAAAGCAAACCCTTGACTATGAATGGTATCAAAGAAAGTATTTTGATCAAAGTGGAGGAAGGAAAATCTCGAAACCCTAATGTTCTTCTTGTTCTTGCTTATTTTCTAGTTCATTTTGGTGATAACTTGGCGAAAATCTAGTATTTACATCATTTTTACTTGTCTTAACCATTCCCAAACAGGACAACATTTCAGATATGTGTAGCAACGACTTTCTATTCGTGTGGATGCCTCTTCCCTACTTAAACATAAAAATAAAAGACAACCAATATTCTGATGCACGGATACCAAAACTGCACAAAAGAGATATCAAGCATGTTTATGATGGAGAGTGCATGTAAGACATGCATGCTTAACATATCCTCTAGTAAAGATATCAAGCATTTTTTGAATAATGAGATCAAAAGAGATGTCAGTCAGCAGTTACCTCTTATTCGTTTAAGATCGGCTTTATTCTTAGCATCAGCATCTCGGTGACTCTGTAACTCACTCGACAGTGATTTATGCTTCACATGAACTTTTAAGTTCAGATTCCAAATCATTTGATACTTGATGTCTGCGTAAATCTAGTGTTGAATGTTGATTCAAGATCTAAGGCTCATATTTGAAGTCATGATTTGATTAAAGATCTGAAACTGAAGTTTGGTATTCTGTTACAAGAAAATACATTACTTGGGTCATTTGAGCTTTTCTATAAAAGCCAAAGGGGTTATAGATTCAAGAACAACAGCGAGAAATCTCACCGGAAAGAGAGATACAAGAAAGAGGTCTCAGACCTGGAGTTCTCAAGGAAGATACCTGAAGTTCTTCATGAATCGTTGAAGCAATCTTCAGGAGTATGGCTTCTTGGCGCTTACCTGAAATAATGGAAGAGTACGTGTTGTAAGTTCTCGGTAAAGAGATGTAACATGTATGTATGCGTATCTCTTGTTAATTATAGTGGATGAACTCTGGTTTTCCGGTGATCGGAAAACTGCCGAGACGTAGGCTCACTCACATCGAGTGATCCGAACTCGTAATTCATCTGTGCAAGTGTGTGTGCGTGTGTAATGCATACTCATGCGATAACATATGAACCTGAAATCTAATCCCAAAGCAAAACCCTAAAATCTGTGAACAACTAAAGGAATCAGAGTTAGGATGTCGAATACTTATCTTTCTCTTGCTCGAGGTTCGTCTCTGCGGTTTGCTTTCTTGGTTTGCAGGTCGATCGTCATTGACGGAAGTCACCGTACCTGGTCGGTCTTGGTCTGCTTTGCTTACTAACCGAGAGAATGATCAACACCTGCCTTCGTCTTTTCGGCGACTCAGAGATGGTGTTATCTGCGTCAATTGGTCAGATCCACAGGTTCGATGTGCGATGGAGTATGGCTGAGGCATCACTGAGACGAAGAATCAAAATAAACTCAGAGAAAGAAGAGAGAGATGAAGAAACTCGAAGAAGGTTCTCTCTCGGACATGATGAAGAGGAAAATGGGATTAGGGTTAGGATAGGTTGAACCGGGTTTGGGTTTGGGCCTGGGAAAGTGTAATTGGGCCTGAACCACTAGATCTAGCTAAACTGAAACGCACAGCAGATGGAAGTACACAGAGAAGCCGTATTAACCTCCGTAAAATTGAAGATCTCATAAGTATATCCCAAGAAAGAGATCCTCATTCCTCACAAAAAATGCGTAATCGCTAAACAAAGGATAGAAGATTAAAATTTTCTTACATGGGTTTTCTTGTCTCTACGAGGTTTCTTCGGAACCGGTACAAAAACGGTCCGAATAAGCAGCAGCAGCAGCCATTGTCAAACCAAGAGAGACCGAACCAGAGAGAGAGAGAGGGAGATTAAGAAGACTATTAAAGAGAATAAGAACAATAAATAAAAAAGGATCAAGCTCTCCTTGAAATCCGTGAAGAAAGATATAGAAAGAAGAGGGAAGGAAATGGCCCGAGGAACGAGATTCTGGAAGAGTCGAATATTTATATATATGCGCGCTTGTATATATTTCTACAGTCCCCTTATTAAATCTCTCTCTCTCTCGATCGAAATTTATTTTCCGTAATTAATTTATTAACTGCACGAGGTTATTACACTTTCTCTAATAATCTTTTAATTTCCTTAATTGCAAAGGATTTAAGATATTTATAGATCTCTCATGCTCCATAATAATCAAAAAGTATTTTATAATAAACGAGATTTCCCACATCGTGGTTGTGTCATCAATCATTATCAATCAATTAAATATTGTAAAATTATTTATATCTAAAAATGATCCGAGATTTCTAACTCATATTATGTATAATCTTACTCAACGAATAAAAAATGGTCATTTCATAAACGTTTGATGAATACGATTGTATGTACGTATGTATGTATGTATCTGTACTTAACCAAGGTTTTGACTTGTATTCAAAATTTATAGTATATAATTACAATTAAAAAATCGGTTCTAAAAATTGAACCTGAATTATGTTTAGACTGTAATTGGAAAAATATTACGAAAACCCCTCCCATGAGGTGCGCTGAATATAAAAAAAAAATCAAATTTGACAGAATAAATAAATATTTGATTCGAAATAATTGAATACAAGTCAGATACTGATGGTTATAATTTTTAAACTCAAATTAATGGATTTGATAGAATAAAAATAAATAAAAAAAAAATTATTTAATTTTTATTCAACTTTAAAATATTACATTTAAATTTTTTTATCTTCAAATTATGTGCTATTTGTTAATTAAACCAGAATATGCACTCGTACCGATGGTATCATATAGATATATACATGATATATAAGTATATATGAACAAAATTTCTTGTTGTTTTTTATCTTTAAATATATAGAAACACGTACTTTTTTTTTGTAACGGTAAATTCATTAATAACAAAGCTATAGAGAGTTCGATTGTCATAAATACATCAGACGGTAGGTATCATTCCATTAAGTGCCTCACCAAAGACAGTAAATGTCATGTCCCATAATGAAAATGACGGAACCAAATGGTAACACGTACTTCATTAATTGTCGTATCCCAAAGCAACAGTTTTCTGTTACAACTTGAATTATTTGTATCGAGGCATTGAATTACAAAATCGATATATATATATATATATATATTCAACGTATATATATTGTATATAAAATACTATACGAGAGCACATATGTGTGTATAATATCTCGCTTGTGCGTTTGAAAAACCGGCAAGGTCGGCCGGGTCGGTCACGGATAAACAGCAAACAATTATTAATTTTTTTTAAATTAATTGCCGTTTAATTACTTTAATTATACCGTGCACGCATGTTTGGATGTGTATATATATACATATATATATATATATGATACGTTACGTAATTTAAAACGTACTAGGAATAATGTTGGACGAACTAACTTAACTTACCTTTTTTATTTTGTAAGGCGATGTTTAGGTATACATCTCCATGCACGCTTGCATATATCATGCATGCATATGTATGTATGTATGTATGTATGTATGTATGTATGTATGTATGTATGTATGTATGTATGTACGTATGTACGTATGTACGTATGTATGTATGTATGTTTATGACCTTATTTTATTTGTTTACGATAATGTGCTGATGTGGCATGCATGCTTGTTAAGCAACAGATAATTCCTTTGGTAAGAATAAAGTTTTAAATATAAGATAAAAACGCACGACCACTTATATATATATATATATATATGTGTGTGTGTGTGTGTGTTTTGTTATTTTATTTGATTGGATGGTTTTCATGAAATCGTAATGAAAAAAAATAAAATAATTTATTAAGATGCTGTGGCCACTTCATACATATGGCTTGTGGTTGATTAACGTTTGGTAATTGGTATTATTATTATTATATGTTCAACAGACAGCCTTCCTTAATTACCAGATTTAATTATTATAACATGATTAATTACCATATCGTTTTGTCAAAAGTAAATACGACCTTCATGGTCGCGTTTATATACATTATACATGAAACAAACAAGTCAGGGGGTAATTAACCTCAAAAACACTCTGCCGACATCATTAATTAATTAAATAATGTAAGAAAAAAGATTAAAGAATGATCGTCGTTAACGCTGCATTTGATTTAATTAACCTCGGATCCATTCCGAACAAAACGGTAACATAGAATCTAATTGAATATTCCACATATAACTAGCTCAAACCCTACCCAAAAAATAATAAAGAGTTAAAATCCGATAAAAACCAAACCAAAACTAGATTAAAAAATAATTATTTTTTTATAAATTTATATCTCAAATTTAAACTAAGTATTTAGAGAAAACAAAGCATTGTTGATAAGTAAACAAATGGGCCGACTCCGTTAGTTAGTATGAGCGAATTTCGAATAATCATTTTTTTTTGGAAAATTAATTTAATACAATCAAGCATATATTGTTATTAAAAGCCATATCTTCGACTCAATCGAACAATAATAGCTTCGGTTTTGATACAAACACCCAAAAAGAAAAAAGAAAATCAAAATCGAACCAAGTTCATTTTCTGTTCGTGCATACCAACATTTTAATCACATTTGGGCATGTATTATTCCTACATGGAAATTAATAGACGTTGTCTTTATATAAACAACATGTTATATGGTTCCTAGATCATATTCTATTATGCAAGAATAATCTCTATTTATGAATCGTTTATACAGTTCCATACTTCTTTTCATTCATGTAAATTCATCATATTAAATTCATGATTAATCGCCACATTCAGATTATTGTTGATTTGGTAAACATTTATCATATTCAACTTTGTCGTGGAATAAAAAACAAAAAACATCTTTTGTAAGCATGGGTCACGTGACTGATTTCATATCCTATAAACCTTGAGAAATTGTATTCATTTTTATCCCAAAGCATTTGCACCATAAAATTTGATGTATTCAAATTAATCAAAAATCGTATCCAAAAAATATCATGTATATGAAAAAAAATTCATTCATGCTAATCATGTATAATTTGCAAACTAAAATGTTTGTAGTCGTGAAAATAGCTATAAAATGTTTGGTGCATACTAAGACTCTCCATTATTTCCAATACCTTACGATTTTAACTTCAACTTAGAGTTTTATTTCATTATTTATACTAAATATGGAATACTTTGGAGATTTGGATACAATGAACCAAGCAATAATTAATGCATGCCATGAACCGAAGTATCTAATTTTTTAAATAAAAATCAGAACCAAACCAAAACTGAACCGAAAATAAAATATTAATCGATTGGTATATAATTTTATAAAATATTAGAAACTGAGCCAAACCAAAACCAAACCCCAATACTGAAACTGCCATGCCAACCCTTGTTTACAATGTGATTTAACACACACAAAGAAAAGAAAAAGAAAGATACTTGATTTGCTCAATTCATGCAAATGAGAGAGAGAGAGAGAGAGAGAGAGAGAGAGAGAGAGAGAGAGAGAGAGAGAGAGAGAGAGAGAGAGAGAGAGAGAGAGAGATATTCATGGGAATGTCGTTAAAATTGGATAGAGAAAGAAAACAAAAAAAAAACGTTACATGTGATGGCTACTCTGTGAGGCTGAGAGAAGAACAAGTATAGATGGGACCCACCCTATTGTGCTGGGGGTTGGTGCACCCGATCCCTACTTCATTTATTTCTTTTTTCTTTTAAAGAAAAAATTTCCAATAGATAATACAAACATTCGAAACATATGAATATTACGCGAGACATTTATGAAGGTCCATGAGCAAGCCCTCGGTCATCTGCTAGCTATCCATACGAGGATGTTATGATCATGAGTGATGGTGTATATTGTATGGATAGACATGTAATGTTACGTTCATAAATGTCATATGACACTAGCTTTTTTTTCCCTACACTTGTATTATATGATACATATTTCCACCTTCATTATTTTTTGTGGGCTGATTTTAAGAAATACAAAATACTTATATAGAGCAATTTATGAAAGCTTTAAATGTTTTAGATCTAAACTTTCAACAAATATATTATATTTAGTTTCTAAATAAAATCCACTTATAGCAAACAAATAAGAGACAAAATAAAATATAAATATAATTATCAATAATCAAAAGTTATAATTAACTTTACTTTGGTATAAATATTAATTTAAGGAACTCAGTGAAAAAGAAAAAAAATAAAGGTCCAATTTGTATTTACTTTCCGCATAAATCTACATTATTCATAGAAATTATAATTATGTAGAAAAACCTATTTATTTTAATTTAACAGCGTCCTAATACATCCTTAACATATCTTTCTTTGGTATTCACTTTTTAGATATTTCTAACTGTGACATTAGTTATAAATCGTTAATTATAAAAAATTCTTATTGGATATCATCTTCATTGTATTATTTAGTTGTAGAATAAATTAGTTACCCGGAAACAGAGGTAAATTTCATTGGCTATGAAATAAAATAAACTAAAATAAATTAGGTTAAATTATACATTCGAGTTTTGACTTTGATAGCTCCCGGTTGAGTTCAGTAATTGCATATTAACACGATTTGGTTTTCTGGAAAATAAAGTAGAATGCATTGTTAGTCTCAATGTAAATCGTATATCGATTAAACTTCAATTACTAGGAAACCGATATGGAATCTATCATGTTTTCTCTGGATAAAAGTATATTTCTAATTGTCGGTTCGATATACACATCAAGTAGACTGCAATCCCAAATTGAAGAAGGTATTTTGGAGGCAACGGTTGTAGGCCAAGAAATCGTCCAAAGGATTCAGACGTTAGTTGAATTCGAAAAAGAGATGTAGATGTCTCTTTTCGGTTTAGTCGTGGGAGAATAACAGGTATTGATTATATAGACATATATATATATACATGTGTATATATATATAATATTTTAATTTTTTTTATGAATAGATTTATATATATTAGATTTATATTTTTAGATTGAATTTTTTCTATGAGACATCGATGATATGTTACTTTTTACA